ACAAGAAAGAGAGCTGTCTTATCATATATAACCTATGACTTATCAGACTATCACACTTAAAACTTAATAAAAAATGATAAAGTATTAATAATGTCACTAAAATCAGAATTCAGAAAACAAAATTCTATATTATAAAATACCTTCAAATAATTAGGAATTTATATATATATATATATATATGAATCTCTTTAATTTTAATTGGAATTTGTCAGATGTGGCAAGTGAAACATCTATATCGCAACTTTAATTGTACGAAGTATGAATTTGGTTTACTTTTTCTTATCATTTTCCCAAAGGTTGTAGCCAACTTTCTTAGAACAAGCTGTCACAGTAAATTGGCATAATGTCTTCGTACCATGCACATACATTAATTGGGATGCCGTGAACTGCCTATTTCAGCTTCACAGTAACCAAAAGAAAGCCTATCAAATTTTTCCACATTTTCTCGATTGACAAAAACATCTCTCCTAACTTCAAACTTTAAAATAAAAGTAAACCTCACAATCTGCCCTACACCTTTGACGTTTCTCATGGAGCTGCCCAAGTCTTGCGGGTTACAGACTTACAGACTTTTCTTCAAGTCATGGTCTGGTTCTGGTCTCCCACTGAGAGTTACAGACTTTTGTCATCCCTTGAACTTTTCTTAGTTCTTATCCAACTATTGAGTTTTCAAATTATTTTTATATTTATTTTATTATTCGTTTTTTAAATCTCAACGAGGATTGGACATACTTTTGAGCTTGTCTCAGTTCTATAATATGATTTTAGTTGGTGGGTTGACTTTTTCCTCAACATATACTAAACCCCAATTTCGTGATGTCTCCAGAGTTTTCCGCCTTAAAGGAACCCATTTCTGTGATTGGACTCCTAAATCAACCAATTGAATTTGTCATTACTAAATTATTTTATTTTTTCATAATTAAAAAAATCATACACTAATTAATAGATTAAATGTTTAAATTTAAATTAAATTATTTTTTATGATCGATGCTTTATTAAAATTCAATCGAAGAATATGTAAGTTCAATTGAGCACATATATATTTATGTTTTCGGAGAGAAAATCTTTGTAAATATTCTCGTACTTAACCTATTTGACTAAGCAATATATGTTCCAAGAAAACCATGGCGTCCTATCACTAGTCTCCGAAGAGTCATTCAGCCATGCTGTGTCTGGAAGTCTTACGAAGAGCACCACATCACACGCTAAAGTCAAACATTCCTACAGTGGACCAAATCCTTTTGCGAAAGATCAAACACCATTTTCACCAAAAAGGTTTTAATGAATTAGGTCATCGACTCTCTGTCTTTGTACATGATTTTTTTTTTTTTTTGTTTTTATATGCATAACCTGAGATAACACAAAACCCTACTTGAACTACAATTCTTGTTTCTTTCTAATATAGTGTACATACACAAAACTCTACGATTCTTGTTTTGCCTTGCTCCCTTGCAGGTTAGAAGAGAGAGCAACAATAACTTTAAGGACCAAAATCCAAAAAGAAAAAGGATAGAAATAATTGCCGCAGCACTGGAACAATTTTAAAATTCTTCTTTGTGACTTTAACATAATTAAATATAATAATTCAAAAGTTAAATTATATAATTTGTTTATATATTTTGTTAAAGTGGTTATTTCATTCTTACACAATAATTTGTAAAAATTAAATTTCTTTATCTTTTAAAATTGATAATTTTAATCTAATTATTAATAATGTTAAACTTTTTATACTATTCATATTGATATAATATTGAAGTCAATTAAGAAAAAAGATGGTACATTTTTTCTTTTGGGTTTTATTAAATCATTGATTTGTCACCGGATTAGAGTGTAAAAGAAGCAAGCTGTTTGGCACAATCACAACAAAATATTGCATTATTAAAAATCAGCTGCCATGGCGGCTTTAGATTAGCGTCTTTTCTTGGGATCAAAATGGAGCTTGATGAGTTGACAATTCAAAGTTCAGCTACTCTTTATAAAGTATACGTATCCTGTTTGAAAACCTTTGGCCCAGATTATCCAAAGTAGTACAACCTACCAAAAGCGAAACAGAACCGTCGGTCAAGAGTTTTAAGTTGTTAATCATTATCAAAATTAATGTATTTACGCGCTTTAAAATCTTCAATTGAATTCTTATATTATTATTATTATTATTATTATTACAATTAAAATTATCCAAGTGGGATAAACTCTTAATTGAATGGCACCTCATCAATCGATTGCCGTGTGACATATATTTTGCTTTTGGGTAGAAAAAGAAAGGAAAAGAGAAGAAAGGAGACAGCGGCCGTGGGCTGTTGGCGAAACCTAGGGTCATTGGTGACGATAGAGACTAGAGAGAGCAACGAGGGGAGCAAAAAGGCAGAAATGGATCCGGTTTTTAATAAATTTCTTGAAAACTTTTAAGTGAGTAAAATTTTTTTAATTTCACCAAAAGTATTGGGAGGATTTAAAGTAAACTTCAATATAAAAGTTTTTTTAATATTTATTATTACATAAAAACTTAAAATCTTACCAATAATAATAATTAATAAAGAAAGAAAGAAATATAAAAAGACAAAAAAACCAAAAAATTAAAAATCAAGTCAAAATGATTTCATAAAAATTTATAATTGCTGTCCTTTTCTTATGGTTTTTTTTTCCTTTTAGTTCTAAAAATTTTCATATAAAAGATTTATACTTTACAATAAATTAAAAATTACCATTGGCTAAAAACTAGAATAGACCAATTCAACTAAGAATCAAAAAACATGTTGGTCTATGTTGAATGTGTTTTAAGTAATTATTTTATTATTTAATCTTTCAAATTTCGTTTTTTAAGAGTGATGAGATTAAAGCTTTTAACCTCTTACTCATTCTTTAGTGCTTTTACCGCTGAGCCAAGTGAAGAATTTACTATAGTAAATACTTATTTAATGTCAAAATCATATTTTAAACTATAATCCCACCTTTTAGTTGGATCCGTCAACGGAACTAATTGGAACATGACCCTTACCGGTTCAACTATACGTGTGGTTTTTAAAGCAATAAAAATCATACATTTGACTAAATAATTAATGATTTTGAAAAATGAAAAACATTACAAACAACAAAAAACGTATTCACAATATATCAAATATTATATCTAAATTTTTTATTTTAATATTTTTATAGTTTTTCCAAATTGCAATTTTTTATTAAGTATTAAAGTAGCAAAGCCCATTGAGAAGGCATATGTCAGCTCAATTATTGTTACTTGAGTCCTCAGTTTCTTGGGAAAGGCCAATTTTGGGCTGAAATGAGCCCACTGAGAGAGAAGAAAGAGATCAGGTATAGTTTGCATTAGGAAATCATAGACACATGTTAATCAAGACTCCAGAGTGATAGTAAAACTACAGGAAAAGATCCACTACTTCGATCTATAGACTAACACATAGTTTTTAAATAAATCTATGATCAAAATCTGTTCACGTTACTTTTCCTTTTTTAATTAATCATTATTTATCTTTCTACTCACTTACTGTTTTTTATAGTAAACTATAAATTTTCGTTGTAGTTTTTTGAAACAATAAAAACTCTCTCGAGTAGCTCTAGCTTGGACGGTAAAGTATGGAGCATAGGCAAATTTAGAATTCAATAGTGGGGGCGTGCTTCTATTTCAATCACTCGGCCTCTCCTATGGTCCTACCGTCCTAGACATGCACTTTCTGACTCAACCGCAGCAGCAGTGCTAACCCATCCCAGTCAAATTTGTGCCACACAATACATATCTGTATATTTTGATTCAATTCATGAAAGGCTTGCATATGTCTTTATTCAAAGCACTGAATTTAAATTTAAATATTTCTTTTTTATCTAAAATTTTCGTTGATACAAAAATATTAATATGGTTGTATGGCACTGTCATAAGATAGTTAACATTAGAATTATTTTACAGGTGAGCTACATCAAATGAGAGAAATATCCTAATACCCTCAACCAACATAGGGGCATCTTATATCTATTGGATATACATAGACTTTGCTGCCAAACTTCTATGGGGTACAAACTTTAATTATTACATTTAAAGGACATAACTTAAAGTGAAAAGTTCAACCTGCTTACAAATATAAACATACATACATACATACATATATATATTATATAATATGACTAAATTCAATAAAATAAGAGGTTACAAATAAAAAGAGATATAATGCAAAAATTTTAAGAAACCCCACAAAGAAAAAATATGATAAAACATAAACATAAAACAAACAAAACCAAGTTATCAAACAATTAGAATTTGAAATTTCAATCAAAAGTTTTTAATTTAAATTGTGAAACACGGAAAGAATATAATTAACAACCTTCCAAATATATTTTAAAATGATCTATACTTGGAAGGTTGTTAACTATCTCATAAAAAATTTGAATCTAAATAATAATTACGGCCACTTATATTCATTGTTTTTTTTTTTACAAGAAGTTGATACAACAATTTCAAATCAAAAGTTTGGTATAATATTTTAAAATTTTCTGAATTATTTAAAAATATTTTTATTGTGTACAATTAAGTTCTTTTATTTCTATGTTAAACTAAATATGTCCATAAAATTAACAGTAGATTAATTATTATTAGTCAAAATGTAGCTTATCATATTATACTCATATAATGTTAACGTGAAAGCTGAAAATATTACGTAATTATATTATTATATTTTTTTATTAATTATGACGTGTCAATATGTCACATTAATATAAATTAACAAATAATATTTTTATTAACTTTAGTTAACTTTTAAATATTATATATAAAGACTTATTTGATTTAAAATAAAATAACGATAACATGGTTAATAACAATAGAAAGATAAAAATTTATTTAAATTTTTTGTAAAAAAAAATTACGTCTGAGAACCTTAAATCAGCGTAATAGATTGTGCGCGTGGACTGTCTCAAGCGTTTAACATATTTCTTTGTTAATACATCAGTTTCTGTATATACGTATACATATAAAAGGTTAGACGTACAGGCTGCATCACCATTGTTGTATCTGACGTGGCAATGACCTCTTCCGCTTGGGCTTAAAAGAGCTTGGACAATTTCAAACATTCGTAACACCACGAAACCGGCCACCCTTTCCCCCTAAAATATCACAGCACAAGTAGCCAAAGCTTACTAAATCCTTTTCTTCCCACATTAAATTATCCCCTTTTATTTCCATTGACTTGCTCTCTTTAAATACTTCTTGTCCCCCTATTGTTCATAGCCAGATAATACAATAATAATGCTATTAAATTTTTCTTCATCATTCACTCACCATTTCCTTGGTCCTCTCCAATTCATTCTATTTTCTTGATTTAAAATTCAACATGGATTCATCAGATTTTCCTACTAGTAAATCGCCAAGGAAAGAACTTCAAGGTCCTCGTCCGGCCCCTTTGAAGGTCCGTAAAGACTCCTACAAGATCAAGAAACCTCCGTTGGCACCACAACCAGTGCAACAACAACCGGCACAGATTAGGGCTCCGGTAATCATCTACACTGTGTCACCAAAGGTAATCCATACAAACCCTAGCGACTTCATGGACCTAGTTCAACGCCTAACAGGCTCAACATCGGCGTCTTCGGGATCTTCATCGCTTGCATCATCAACATCCAGTCGTCCATTCCATGATACCAGCGCTGCAATCTCACCAGCGGCAAGATTCGCGACTATAGAGAAGACAAAGTCACCAGAAGGGAAGAAGCAACAAATTAGCGAAGAAAACTTTGGGTTTGTACAGGGCGTGGAGATGAATCATGGGGTTGAAAGAACAAGTTTCTTTCCAGGGATTTTGTCTCCTGGGCCAACCTCACTGCCTCCAATATCACCAAACTTCTTCTCACCACCATTTGATCCAAACTCAAGCAATTTCTTCCAAGATTTGAGCCCCGTGCTGCATGGTAACAGAAATTTCTTAGAAGGGAGTTTCATGCCTAGTCCTTCAAGCTTTAATATTTCACCTTATATAACATCTCCTAGTACTCCATCAATAGATCTTTTCAACAATTTCTTTGACCTTTAAAGACAAAAATTTCCTCTTAGCAAGAAATAGAAATAGAAATTCTTTTCCCTTTGATTTATAGGGTTTGAAAACAGAAGGAGATGTTTGTTAGAGCTGTGCGTTTGCATTTTTCTGCAACTTGAATGGTGAGGGTGGAGGACTAAAGTGGAAATTGGATGTTTATTTTTGGTAGGTTTGCTAGTTGGAAACTTCTTAATGGCCTTATCTTCTTATTCTTCTTCCGATGTTAATTTGGTGGGCCACATGGTAGGGAGGTTCTGCCTCATAAATCCAGGGATGCCCATCATTTTTTTTTCTCCTTTTTTATTATACAATTTTTTCCCTCTCATATGTAGCAGAAGTGGCCTTGTAATTCGAAAGCATAAACATTACTTCTTCTTCTTATTTATATGCTTTTGCATTATTACTTTTCTTATGTAGCTTTGAATGCCACATTTCAATGTAAATCTAACTTGTTTTAGCTTAGCAGATATGAATTAATATCATCAAATGAGGGCGGCGAAATTGCAGTATGCTGTACTTCACTTCCATCCTCATTTTCAAGCACAATAAATAGCCTGCTTTAACTTAGGCTGGGAAAAGAAAATCAATGACATAGAATGCAGAACAGCTTTTGAGTAAAAAGAGAGATTTTTTGAAATCAAGAATTAAAAAAAAAAGGTCTATTACTGTTCGAATAAATAAATCTACAAAACAGTTTTAAATTGTATAAAAAAAAAGAAATTAAAATAGTTTTTAAGAACAGAAATAAATATTTATTAAAGAATAAATGTTCCTTCAATTTCATTAAAAGTAGGCTTTTAAATTTTTCATTGGTCAAGAAAAACGATCAATAAAAATGTTAAAAAAAAAACCAACAAAAAACTCATGAACATACAAAATACATATATTATGTTAATCCACCCACCATCAACCCTTTTATACTTGTACACTTACATAGGTACTAGTATGCCTCATGCACATACAAAATACATGAAAGGTGAGATTATTAATTTATTATCTGTACAAGTTTTGGATTATCTATGATACTCCCTAAATTTGGTCAATTTCAATTTATTACTCTAAGTTTCAATTTTTTATTAGGATTAACAATTTCTTACATATTTTACCCAAAGATTGCTTTTCATTCAAAAAAAATATTAAACTGGGGAGTGCTTCATTATTAGGTTGGCTGGCTCAATCAAAGTTCAATTAAAAACAATTTTAATTACATCTTATTTTCAATGGTAAGGAAGAGGTCTTGAAATCTTTAGATCTTCAATTCAAGTCCTATCGTATGTGAATTTAATCTAATTTTATGTTGATTTGTTCGTTAACTTCTTAATTCCATAGATGTAATATGTGATATGCATGAAAGTTATTTGACTATAATTGAAATTTTTACGTGTAATCTTAATCTAAAAGAAATTCAGACCTTGTTTCCTATTCCACCACTTAACTTGTTAATATAATGTTCAATTGGAAATGAATACATTTCTTCAGAAGAAGGTATAGAAAAAAATATTGATAATTGATTATTTTAAGAGAATCGATAAATTTAATTATAAGATGAGTGTCACAAGCTGCTATGTCCAACCTTACTACAACAAAACAAAACCATGGATCCAAGTGCAGGGGCTTGCCCTAGAAGACCAAGATTATTTGCATATCATTCTAATAATTAATCTCTAGATTTGGAGTTAGATTGGGGCTGTTTCCAGGGATCACCAAAGTCAAATGTAACAGCTTAATCATAAAAGATTCATAAGAGTAGTTAAATAAGAGGCACGTTCGGTGGAAAAAACCATCCCTTCAAAGATCAATTTCCATTATTTTATTCATCAGTATTTGAAAACTTTAACCATCAAGGGCTAAAAAGCTAGATTTTGGTTGGCAAGGCATATTCCTGCTTTAATATTTAAATATATTTTCAGTGCTCTATACATACGGTGCATATTGTCGCCTAGACTTTTTCAATATCCAATAGGATCAATTCATTGAAATTTTAATTTGGTTTCCTTTAATGATTATGATTTGTAGACGCAATCAGCCGTCTAATACATAAAACCCTCACTCATGTTCATTTAATTTCAACTAATTAAATACTAGTTATATTAAAGTTTTTGCTTGAATCGCGCTAAGTTGACTGTTTCCAGCTACAGATCTATATAAAGCAATTTTCCAATATTTTTAGGAAATAAATAGTAAGTTTTGTACTTTAAAAAAATAGATTTTCAAGAAATAATGAAAAAAAACAAGAGTACTCGAAACAAATTATAATTATATCCAGTAGAAGAAACCCATAAACAAATCAATACATGAATATAAATTTAAAAAAAAATTGAAACTTAAAAATTTCAAAATCCTTTCCTTACCATTAGGATAGTGTTAGATTTTGCTTAGTCTATAATATATTTGAGACAACAAGGAATCCAAGTTTTTCCAAATTTATAATGATGCTTTAAGAAAAGGTATTTTGATCTGTCTGGATTAGACCTTGGTAACTAAGGAATTTAAACTCTTTCATGATGTAAATGCCACGTATGAACATAAGGGAAGGAAAGGGGGAAAGACACATGCAAACCCATTTTATACACGTGAAGAAAAAAATAAGATTTAAAATAAATCAAGAATTAAAACATAATAAACCTATATAAAAGTCGAATTATTCGTTTTTCCATATAAAAAATTATATATTTTTCTGTATATAATAAATCTATAATAGGATGAAAAAGAGATTGCAGTTGGAAACTTTGTCAGTTAATCATACATTTCAAAGACTGATAGAATTTCAACAGGTGTACCAAACAAACAGTAAATGTGTTTGTTAACCTTGGGCAGGCTCGCATCATTCCTTTTTTTTTTTGCTTTTTTCAAGAGGAAAATTTTGGTTGCATCCTTCTTTGAAAGTCGAGAAAAGCTGCGCAAATATTTTATTTAAGAAATTATATTATTATTCATTACTAAGATATTTATTATAGTAAAAAGGCCAGGAGCACCAGTTATCACGCCAAGATGGCTGCTTATCATTACTGAAATCGTTTCGTCTAACACTTTTATCGCTATCTGATTCGGGTTTATTCATATTAGTTGAAAATAGTATTATTTTCAGATTTTTTTTGTCTTTCATTAATTTTATTCAAATTCAACAGAGTAATAATTATATTTTCAATATTACATACAAAGACTAGGTCGGCAGTTGGAAAGGCTACGAACACAATAAATGAAAGAAAAAGTGAGTACCTTGTGAAAATTTACATAATTTTTAGATTCCCACCGCCACAAGTTTTAACCAGTGAGTCCCACCAAGGCCCAATATACAACTAATCCTAGATATTCAGAATAATATACACATATGCATATCTGTATGCATGTTTGTATACAAATCAAATTCATATATGATGTATGGTTCCTGCAATATAAATTCCTTGTTGGAGAGGAGACATTCTCTACTCTTTTTCTTTCAATTTTCTAGTTATTTGAACAATCTCAGACAAGAGAAATCGAATTACACGCGTAGCAAATATTGACCAAAAAGTAGGAAAAAGAAAATCTTTTAAGGTATCCAAAAGAGTTACTCACCTTCAGTTCTATGCATGTTCGGATCCCAGTCATTCTACCCAACATCTATTCATTCACAATCTATATCAAGACTTACGTGCTATTTAAAGAGTGCCCCTTAGCCAGAAATAGAAATCCCACGGTCGCTTAAAGGACTAATAGGACTCCTTGAATTACAGGTTAAAGCCTTCAAAGGGTTCTTCTCCTCTCCATGAACTACATTTGTTAAATGTGAAGCTTGCTTTGCCCTAAACACCCCCCACAGATAGAACTTCTCCTGGAACCCTGCAAATCAATCAAATGATTAAATCCTTCTCAGTCTCACCAACCCAAACATAATTAATCTAACTTCATGCCAATTGGAATAAACTTATGTTCATTAAACATGAGGTATGAATATTTAGACTCACTCCAAAGGTGCAGAGGCAATATGTTAGAAGTGAAAACTAAGAGTTCTACATCTTGAACTACAGCTCTCAGGCCAAGATCTCGGACAATGATCTTATCTACTAGACTGTCAAACATCTTCACGTCCCTGTAAAAATGAAATCAGCATATTTAGGTACAAAGTCTGGAATACAGACAAGGATGATGACATAAAATTTAAAAAGGTATCACCTTCCATCATTTGGAAAGAAATAGAGAGCAATACTTTCTTCACTTGGCCCCCATTTCTGAAAGCCTTTTGGCCACACATCACATCTTGGAAGCAACTCTAGGAAAAGCGATTCAGGTAAGCATTTTGCCACCTCACAAACTTTCAAGCATGCTATGCTAGACAAATGGGCTACAATTCCAACAGCAAGATTTTCATCATAGAGACGGAAACTTCCCCTGTCAAACAATCATGCTCATGAACTTCTACCCAACAATGTATCTATGAGCATAAACATAAAAAGGAAAAAAAAATCCTACCTCCATATTGGTTCAAATATTGGCTGTGCAGGCAGGTAATAATGTTTTGGGATTTGGTTACTTGTAGCCACAAGAGATGTTTTAAGTTTAACATTGTCAGCTGCTTCATCAGAGTACACCCCATCCAGTTCCCTCTGCCCAGGGTCCAAGCGAATATGCTCTATGACATTTAAATGGTCATTGATGGCTACGAGAGATGTTCTAATATTGACAGATTCAAATTCCTCATCCATGTTAACCCAATCTGATCCTCTTGAAGATGTACTAGTGTTTGAAGAAAGGATTTCAGCTTGAAAAGGTCTGGCCTCTTTATCAGAGCTAGGCCTACCCACTTCCAATGATCTTCTCAGTGTCTCGTTTTTTTCAAGATTCTCAGGGCGTAGAAGCGAGGGCCTACTTTGTCTTTGCACCTTTGATATAGCCAATGAGCCACTGTCGTAGTCACTCGTATTATTCTTCTTGTTCTTCTTTAATTCTTTTATGTCGTTCTCCCCCTTCAATTTTCTAACAGGATTGCCTTCCTTCAATCTTGATTGAAAGCCAAACGCAGGGAGAGCCTGATGGAGAGTAGATAATTCTGCAACCTTTGGTTCACAGTCCACACAAAACCAAACAACATACTCCTCAAAAGTTGCCGGTAATTTATCTAAACAATAACTGGATGAGGAAAGATAATTATAAAGGCAAAAATTAGAGAAAACGAATATAAAATAATCAAATGTGTATTCAATAGTCAACTTATTGAAGCAAATAAAAAACTTGGTAAATGGTGCAATACAAAATCTAACAAAAGGTTTTTGCAATGAGTTTCCAGAGTGAAACTAGTACAATAATTTCAATTACACATCCAATTTGCAACAATTCATTCCAAATAGTAAATCTGTGCCTTCAACACTAAAAATAATAAAGAAATAATTTCAAGTCCATTTGATG